GGGGGAGCTGGGCAGCAGTGAATAAAGGAAGCTTAGGTATCTGTGTCAGTTATCATATTTACTATGAGTGGTTGATTTAAAGTACTAATTTCATTCACTTTTTAAGGTTTTAACTACAATTGGAAGAACAATCATAGTTACTGAATGCAATTTTTTTTTTTAATTTTTGAATTTAAGGAACTAAAAACAGATGTGTTTTAAGGAAGAGACTAAGTTATTTTCTGAATCATATCATGGCCATTGCATGGACTTGCAATGCTCATTCAGCCCCAGATAATGGCTCTGAGGCATCTGTGGTCATCTTGTTCCTCCCACCAACTTAGCAGTGGAAGTGAGTCCTGACTATTACAACTGAAAGGGAACATTGCTGGGAAGTTTAAGGAAGATTTCCTCAAGACTAAGACTGAAGCAGAACAAGAGGTGATCCTTTTGCTTTGGTCATCATCTTGTTTGAAAGAGAAGCTTTCAGTGAGGGGAGCCCTGGTTGCCCAGCAGAGGATGAAACCAGGCTGAGAGCCAGCCGGCCTGCCTCCCTGCATCCTGTTTAGTTAGATAAGAAATTTTCTTGCTCAAGCCATTTGTAAAGTTAGGGTTTTGTTCAGTGCTGCCTGAGGAACATAAAAACTAATACATCTCATTCATAACATAATTTTGAACATTTATTTCACTGCTACATTCTTGCCATTTGTAAATCAAAATAAATTTGGTTTGAAAACCTTTTCCTTGACTGTGAATTGGCCTTATGTGTATTTTTTTCCTTATTTAATTTTTGTTTGTCTTTTACCTCACATGTTAAAACCAAAGTGAATTTGGGTAGCAAACTTTTTTTTTGAAACACCAGAATAAAATCTGTAGGGACGTTCTTCCTTATGGGTTGTTAGAGCAATTCTAGTTAAGTTTTTATAAAATAGGGGTCTAGGGAAGGCAATATACTAAAAGTGATCTTCAGCTTGTTTGAAGCCTATGATCTTGTTTATTTCTGTGCTGGTTTTGCCTTTGAAATGGCTATGACCAAGTGTTAATAAGTGCATAATTCAGCTGCCTCTTTGGACAGAAAAAAATTAACTGCTCAGTATTTTCTGCTGTCATGTGCTTTTGTTTTTATGTTTTTCTATGTTTTGCAATTTCAGTTTTGGAGACACAATTCCCAGTTGCTTTAAGGAAAGCTGACTTTTAGGAGTGCTGCATTCTGAATATTGGTATACTAGTAGTTCTCAAACACTGTGGCATTAGAATTTGTTTTTCCAAATGAAACTGTTCTCAAAACACAAAGAAAAGAAGTTTGGGGCATTTCAAATCTTTATTGTTTGATAGGAAAAGATTTCATTGCTTACTTAACCATGGAGCACAGTTTGAGAGCCTGTTATATACAGGGCTAATGAAGAATGACCCTGCAATTTTTTATTCAAACTGAGATACTTTTGAGAGTGAAGTAATTTTTCTAGGACAATGGACATAAATGGAACTGTCCCAGGCAAATTAGGTTTATGGTACTAAAATGGTAGATGCTAGAGCAGAGAAGTGGGTCTCTGGTAAATGGTAGCAGAGAAACTGATGTCAGTGAGTGCCCTTTCCCTCATCTCCAGCCCACACCCCTCTAGTGGGATGAGGAAGCCGGGCCCTGGAGGGAACCAGCAGAGCAGTTCCAGCCTCCCAGCTGGAGGTGTTTATTGAGCAATTGTTGTGAGCCCAATGTTGGCAGACCTGCCCAGAGTGCAAAGTTAGATTACTTGATTCTACAGATGTAGTCATTCAACAGAACTTGGAAATGAATGGTTCCATACCATTAACCACGGAGGGATGTAGAAGTCAGGGCAGCCCTGACTTTGAATTTGAAGTGTGATGTCTTTTATTAGGCCTTCATCCTTCCCTTCACTCCAAAACTGAATTACAGCTAGGAGGACCTGAGGTCCCTTTAGAATCTGTCTTAGAGGTAGAGGTCATGAAGGTGTGGAACACAAGTGTGTGCGTCGGTGTCAGGTGTATTAGTGGTGGGTCTTGTGTGGCAGTAGTATTGGAAATAGTAGCTAGAGGGGCGATAAGTGATGTGAGGGCCCTATGTGTCCCTGTCTGTGTCTTTTTAAGACTTGGGAGAATCTTTTAAAGAATGTGGGAGTATGTTTTTGTCAGTAAGAGAAAACTGAGACATAGAAAAGGGAATGAAAAGTAAAAAGAATCTAAAAAGGAGGGTAAAAGACATTGGGATGGGAATCTTTCAGACATAGTAGTACCCTGTAAGAAGAGTGGTACAGGGCGCTTAAGATTAGCAAACCGTGTGTCTCCTCTGCCGAGGCCTTTCCACCGAGGCTGCTGCCATGCGGGGCGTCTCCCTGTGGGAGGACCAGGACTCCTGGTAACACTGAGAAGAGCCTCGGGTTTAGTCAGCAGGAGTCTCAGACTCTTGGATCTAGCTTAGTTTTCTAAATAGTTTTACTTAATTGATGTTCTGTTTTAATGCTTCACATATGAAATGTCAAAGAACTAAATAGAATGGATTTTAGGCTTGCATTGACTTTAAAGTCAGTCTTCACCTTACATTACCGGATACCTTTTTTTCCTGAGGACTTACAAAACGAAAAGGAACTTCTCTTCCCCACCCCCATTGAACTCTGAAACTGAAATATCATGTAGTTTTCAGGCGGTGCCTGTGGCTCAAAGGAGTGGCCCCATGTGCCAGAGGTGGTGGGTTGAAACCCAGCCTTGGCCAAAAAAAAAAAAAAAAAAAATTAAAACAGTAAGTATGATTATTAGTGATACCTTTAGAAGGTTATAAATAGTGAGTTCTGTATGATTTCTTATTTTTTAAATATTATTTTTCAAGAAGCAAAAATAATTATATATAAATCAAAATTTGGAACATACCTGATTAACAGAAAGTTCCATGCGCCTTAGTTATCTCACTGTTGAATTGAAACTTCATGATTTACGAAGAAGAACTTTAACTCACTGAAGGTCTTTTGGTAAGTTTAGACATGACAGTATTTCAGAGATTCATAAACATTTAAACAACATTATTTTGTTTTATTTTTAAGTGAAAGGTTAGCTGAGTAACAGAAATTAAAGACCCATGTGAGGTTAAAGAGGACACTCCTCTCCAGTTTTTAGGCATGTAATACTGGAAATGATGCATTACTTGCACTTTGGATTAAATGTTTGAGGATATTACGTTTCCTGGTTTAGTATGTTTAAAAAACCCCCAAACTTGAGTTAACTCTGTGAATAAAAAATGCAGGACTTAAGGAAAGATCTGCATCAGAGCCCACAGTCCCAGCAGAAGAGACGGAGCCAGACGCCGAGCTGGAGGAGCAGGCTCCTGTGGGGGCAGGTGAGTTGTCCTCGTCCTGAGGTCTCACTGGGATGTGCCCTAGCCTGACACCTGTTCCCTTCCTCAGTTCACAAAATCGTATTTTACCTAGAATTTGTTTCATATTGTTCATGGAATAACTAGTTGCTTTTTCTTTTCGTCTGAAATCTTATAGTAAACAATTTTTTTTCTGAAAAATTACACAGGAAAATTTTAATTTTTAAGAGCACAAGAGTCTTAGGCATGGATTTGTCATTGTCTAAGACCACACAGTTTGAGACATCATAAACCAAGTGTTAGTTTCTGGATTCTAATTCCAGCACGGTACATGTTGCATGAAAGTGAAAATACACACATGTTATACACTAGTGTTGTCATTGTTTGCCACATGATGTAATAGAGTCGATCCGGGGATCTCCATCCTTTTAATGTGAGGGTCTCTTGTCCGTATCAGAGACTGCCTAGCCCTCCTGGGATCCTCTGTGCAGCCCGTCTTGCACCTGCACAGATTGACAGGTCACGTATCTCCACAGTTAACCACAGGGCCTGTAACCCTTAGGACACACAGTCCTGAAATATTTTAATAAATGAGTAAATTAAAATTTAATCCATCACTATCAATCATTTCTTCTTTATGGCATGATATTTATTATAAAGTACTGTTTAGTTTCTGCACATTTTTTACTTACATGGCTTTCTTTGTAAGAACTCTGGTTTCTTTGCCCCACCTATTGGAAGCGTTAGGTATAGCACTGCACATTTACTGCAACTTAAGCATGGGGTGCAGGCTGTACTTTATGCTGATTTTATCCCTGTGTACTGATGAAGAATATTTTGTATTCTTCTTCTTAAGATAAATAAATTTCTGTGAGTTTTGTTCAGTTCATAAGCCTAGGAGAAGTTACCGTCTCTCATTCCTGAGGGATTGCTATAATCATACCATGGCTCAAGAATAAGGAGTAAATTTAATTTTTATAGTTTAAATGTATATTTGCATTTAGCACCTCAAATTTTACTTTATTCTAAAAAGAATACATTCATTCTTTAGTCCGTTGCAGTCTGGCTTTCTGCCTTCCCCAGCCCTCTCTAGGGGAGAGGAAGAGTGTTGACCAACTCCTAGGAAGTTGGGACGGCATTGTGTGCTTACCAAGGCCACAGCCAGTGCTGGTGGCAGATGATTCTGGAAAAGGTTCTGAAAGTTCAGCTGTGGAGGTCTTATATTCTCTTCCAAGAGGGCAGAGGAGTCTGCTAAAGGGTTAGACAGAAGAGCAGAGTGTACCGCCCCACTGCATTCTGTGCTAGAGTGCATCCAATCTAGGCACTCGGGCCTAGGTTCTCTTTGGATGGTGCTTTTAATAGTTGTGAAACTGGGCATCCTCTTAGGAAGCTGACATAGGCATTGTGACAGGATAAGGGAAATATGAGACTGGCAGATGTCTATAGTTGCATGAGAACATAAATTAAAATGGCTTGTGAAATACAAACATCCATACAAATGAAAAAGTGAGATGAGGTTCTCCAAAGCTGAAAGGATTGTCAGTTATAATGTAGGGTCTTGCACTCGTAGACACATGTGGGAGTGGTCGGCGAACTCTGAGCCCCCTCCATCCCCTCACCAGCAAAGGTGTCCTTTCTCCTGTCAGGAAAGACATTGAGCTTATCGTCCAGACTTTGTCTTTAGTTCTCAGCACTTCTCTATATGAAGGTGTTGTCCTTCCTGCTTTATTTTATCATTAATGTAAATTTAATAGAAACAAAAGTCATCTTGCATTTTGTGAGGCTTTTATTTATAATAAAAATCTGAGCCTGAATTAGTTTTCTTCCTTTAAAAATCTTATTAAACGTCTCTTAACCCTTAATATCTGCTGGGAAAGTAAAACCAATTTTAAACATCTACCATGGTAAACTGATATAAAAAGAATGTATAATTACTTAGCCAGATATATTTATTTTAATGTATGTGCACAAATGCCATATTTGAGTGTTAGAGTTTGACGTTAATGTTTGGATTTTTGTACTTAGTTATGTTTTCTAATTATTTTAGAGTCCAAGAATATTGAAGATGAAATAAATGAACAAATTCAGCCCCTTCTCCATGAAATGGTACACAGAGAACATGGTATGAGTTAAAATTTATTGTTTTGTCATGAATTACTTAAATATGTTTAATTACATGATTTTGACATTACTTTAAAATTTACATGTGAATCGGATGTTTGGATTATTTAAAAAAACTTTGTTATTTAAAGTTATTAGGGGCAAGTATTACTTTTGCAGTAGCCCTGTACACACTTTGTTTTGCCCCCCCCCCCACTGTGAGGGGGTGTAACTGCTTACATCTCAGAGAGGAAGGGTAGGAATAAATGAGGATGAATGGATGGAGAGCAGTGATCCATCAAGAGTAGATGGAGAAAACAGAGAGGAGAAAATAGGACACAGGCAAGCTGTGGTGGTTTGTGCAAGTGCTGCCATCTGCCCTCCAAATGCACTCACACTTGGCCGGCCACCAAAACAAAAACAGAGACGCTTTCAATACTGTAGGTTCTGTTAGCAGAGAGGAAAAAAGCATGAAAATGGAAGCATTTTCTAAGCACTTAGATCTAAATAATTCTTACGGGAGCTCTATGTAGAGGATACTAAATGGTAGTTCAGAAACCACTGTATTGTATATTATAAGGCCGCTTCTTAAGGCATCCCTTTATAAAAACAGTATGACCCCAAAATGTGACTCATGAAGAGATTGATAAGGGGAGGAGCACTGCGGTATCCTATTACGTCTGTGGTTCAGTGTGGTCCAAAGTTAGCACTAAAGGGGAAAAAAGTGGTAAGAACAAACAACTTCCTATCATTTAAACTGGGTTCTGCCAGTGCTGGGGGGTGTAGAAGCCTGTGGCCTTTATCACCAGCTTCTTTCCATCTGCTCCTATTCTGCCCATTGCAGCAAGCACAGGCACCTCTTGCCTTCAGCTTTTTTTCCCCTCTAACTTTAACCTAAGGAAGATGCAGCCTAAATAAGTAAGTGATTTCAATATAATGGGCTATGCTCTGTGGGGCTTGCCCAGATGTTGGGGTAGAAGAGGTTTCCTGGAAGAAATGGTAACTCGTCTTAGTAGAAATCCATTGGGCCACCCTTGTTGGTGAGTATTTTAAGTAGAGGGCATAGCATAGAGGCA